AAAGTTGGCTCTAATTTTTAGCAAGAAAAATTACATGACTATTGGTTGCATGCTATTGGGACCGACACTGTTAATGAAATGACAAGGTTTATAATTACTAAATTATTATTATTTTATACTATATTTTGTTATTAATTATAATTGTTACTAATTATTAGCTTTTTTTAAAAAAATTAATAAAAATTTAAAAGTAAAGGAGCTCCCTCGTTTTGTCTGGGTTTGGGTCCGACTGGGTTTTAAAGTCAATCCCTTTTTTCTAAAGATTGTATAAAAATAAATTTCATAATGTATTCTAATTCATAGGCAATTTGATAAGGCTGTAAAATATTTCTTAAAAATTATTTTATATTATGAAATAAATAATATATTTCATAATTGGCAAAGCGAGGCAAGTAATTTAATTACCAATTTTGCAAATTAATTTACTATAACGATCACTTTAAAATGTGTATTTAAAAATATTTTTAAGGTAAATAGGCGAACATAGTATAATAGTTTCACTATAATTTATGCAAATTAATAACTGAATAAAATTGAAATATTGTTTGACAAGTATTTCATGAGGTTTGTGCGACATTTGGATGCGTATCAAAAAACTATTATGTTTTTAATACGATAATATATTTCTAATAAATGAATATTAAACTACAGTTTCTATGATAATTTAGTTAATTATTATTTGATTCTTAATTTAAAAATATTTTATTTACTTTAATGGAACTCATATTTAAATTAAGTAAATTAATTAAATAAATAAAAATCGTTGTAAAAATTCAGATCATTTTCAACAGTTATTATGGCGTTGAAGTAGTGTATAGTCTTCGGGACTGCAGTATATGACGATCAGCAGCGGCGGTATTTTATAGTGACCCGGGGTATAGACGTGAGGTTTATGTTAGCAAAATTATTATTATTATTATTATAGATACTTTATATTAATTATCTTTATTTATAGAAATATCTAAGAAAATTTGTAATTTTTAATACGGATGGATAACTACTGTAGTATAGGGTCATACACATAAAACCGTCCAGGCGGAAACTTGAATAGCTCGCTAACTACAAGTCCGAGACTGAAACGGTAAAAAGAATTATTAAGATCTATTTAATGCAAAACTTTTACACTTAAAATAAATTTTATCAAAATGTACAGTAATTGAAATTAGTGCAAGGTAATTAATCATGAATATCACGCTTTTATAAAGTGTTTTGAATTAATTGGTTTGGTTACTAGGTGAAAATATAAATTATTATTNATAAACTCATGAAATACTTGTCAAACAATATTTCAATTTTATTCAGTTTTAAATTAGCATGAATTATAATAAAAAATGTTCGCCTATTTACCTTAAAAATATTTTTAAATACACATTTCAAAATGATCGTTATAGTAAATTAATTTGCAAAATTGGTAATTAAATTACTAATTGCCAATTATGAAATATATTATTTATTGCATAATATTAAAATAATTTTTAAGAAATATATTACAGCCTTATCAAATTGCCTATGAATTAGAATACATTATGAAATTTATTTTTATACTTTCTAAAAAGGGATTGACTTTAAAACCCAGTCGGACCCAAACCCAGACAAAACGAGGGAGCTCCTTTACTTTTAAATTTTTATTAATTTTTTAGAAAAAGCTAATATTTATTATAGTATAAAATAATAAGAATTTAGTAATTATAAACCTTGTCATTTCATTAACAGTGTCGGTCCCAATAGCATGCAACTAATAGTCATGTAATTTTTCTTGCTAAAAATTAGAGCCAACTTTATGCACTAGGCAAATTTAATATAAATGAAATTTGTATATTAAATTACAGTTTTTAAATGCTCAATAATTTTTGTAAATCATAATTTATTTAATATATTAATTACTAAATTATTTACGCAAACGCAATCCATATATCTAACTTGTCAATAAAAATATTATAAACAATTAAATTAAGTAAAATTTACTGTTTTATCTGTTATTAAAATAACTACCGGTGCTGTTTAGACATTATACTAAAGCGTATACTGTGCCCACTTATTATGATTAGTTTGTTATATAAGAAATATATATTTTAAGAATATTTATTGTTAATCAAGGTTACTCGTCAGTTAAAAATCGTTTCAAAATTCAGTGAAGTAATGATTTTATATTAAATTGTGCATGCTCTCTGGAACATTTGTGCACCAATGTGGTCAGAAATAATCAGATTGTACCGGGACAAAATACACATGATTAATCTGTTCCACAACATTAATAAATTAGCCAAATATGAGACGGCATCGGGAGGTCCGCTTTAAAAAGCTTTTCTAGTGAGCAATGTCATTTTTATAAAAAATATAGTTAGATAGATAAGAGATTTAAAATTAACAGGACAATTGTCGCTAAGCCCAATATAAAATTATTATGAATTAACATTTTGTGTATTAAAAAGTATTTGTTTTAAAGTACAGCTTATAAATAAATAACTAAATTAATCAATAAATTTACTTTTAAAATTTTTTTAAATTTTATATTTTAGCAGTTTAATTTATTACAATATCATTAGACAATTTTATTAAGTTAAAATATATGGTATAGTATTAATTTTATAAATTATCCATTATGTTTGTTACATGATAAAAAAATTAAATAAGCTGTCAATATTATAATTTTAGTATTCTTTTGGATAAATAATTATTTTTCAATAAATATAAATTTAAAAAATAATTAAAATAATATGTAATTAATACAGTATAATGAAAATAAATTCATTTTATGTCACATATTTTAAAAATCATTAAATATGAAACATTACTATTATTTACTATTACTAGGTACTAGATTTATTTCTATTAAATAACATTTTGAATAAATATATTTTTCATTTAATATGTTAAATACTAGTGTGATACCATCTAGGATATTTACATAATTAAGCAATTTATAAACAAAATTTTAATAAAATGTTAATTTTAAAGTAACTGTACACTAACGTGTTTATCAATGACATTAAAACGATGCCAAAAAGTATGTTAATATATTTTATGATGTTAAATAAAAATTTAAAACCATGTAAACGTAATAAGCATCATAGTAATGCTATATTCAACATTAAATGTTACACCCATATAACGCCATTGTATACCGAAATAAATACAATATGTTTCACATTAATGTATATTTAAATTAGTTTTAATTATTACATCAATAACAAAAAATGAACGTGGATACAACACAACGATTATTTTATGATCACATCAATTCATTTCTCAATGATGTTGAGTTAACAGATGAATTTATTACTATGTTACGTACACACCCATGTGCATTTATGCTCGATGATATACTGGTTAGTTATATATAATTTATTTATAAACAAATTATAATTATAATTAAATATGTATGATTGTTTTGATTTTAAACAAGAGTACTGTTTAAAATATAATTGATTGCATATAAGAACTTTTATAAAAGGGTTGTGTATTTTACTTGGCTAGATCCTTATTTTGGGAATAAAGGTTATGTAATGTATAATTTTTTAATTTATAAAAATTTATATAGAATGGTACCGACACTTTTGCAAAAAAGCGGGAAATTTTATTACAATTTTCCCAGCACAGTTTACATAGACAACAGTTGGCTGATATATTGCACGCTTCGGGTCAGCATAGGGTGGCACAAAAACTTGGAGATTTTAGTCAAACATTAAAGTCACATCAATTTGAAACGCTATCCCCTATAGGTTCGAGTAAATTTGGGGCCGTATATCAAATGAGACATAAGTCGACCAAAAAGATTTATGCTATAAAACGGATTAACCTATTTGGTAAATTATTATTATTATTAACTTGTCAAAATTTTAATATTTATCAGTCAAGCTCATAATTATTAGAGCCTTTAATGTAGAGACTGTCTTATAAACCACGGGTGCTTCCATACCAAATAAGAGGGCTTGTAATAAATTTAATTATTATAAAATATTAAATTTTTATTAGTGTATGTTTATTATATGTTTAAATATATTATACCTAAATCAAATAATAATTTACTAATTATATATGTAATTACAAATACATATATCTTTCTCTCTCTCTCTCTCTCTCATCTTGGTGGTCCTTAAAGTATTCTTATTTTATAATAATTTATAACTACCTCTCTCACTTTTGAATAATGGCACAGCTGCATATAAATAAATTTCATAATTTAGTAAATTAACTCTTCTAACAGATTAATATGTAAAGCTGCCTACTATTTTCAAAGCAATAAAAAGTAAATTTCCAAAATTAAAGTAGGTCAGTATGACAATAGGAAGGCAAAATTAGTTATTTTATAATTTTGTCTATTGTACTCATAATCATATAAAAAACTCTTAAATTTTAGAATACTTATTATTGTTCTCGTAACAATGATGTCATAGTTAATGTTAATATTTTGTATAATTATTAAAAATAATTTTATATGTATTGATTTCTTATATAATTGAACCAGGATCGATTGGAAGGTTATTAGGGTACCTGGTAAATGACTTAAATTTAAACACATCAAACTTAGATGAATCATATATAGCTGAATATTTAAAAATTAATAAAAACTAATAATAGTAACTATAAATTATTATTTAATTTATATTTTAAAATAATGATAATAATTTTAAAGTTATCTACAATTGCTATTAAAACTAAGAAATATAGTGAATAATCTTTTACTTTTTTGATGATTTAAAAATTATTTTCCAGAAGTTAATATAACGTAAATAATAGTTTAGTGTATATACGATAATTTATATTATTTCATTACATAAAGCGATTGATTAAAATTTATTAATTTTTCATTACTTCCCATTTTTGGTTGTTTAGATAAGAATTTAAAATAAATTTTTTATAAACAATAATTTTTAGATGTTAGTGATAATGTTGGCGTGAACATTAAAAGAGAAATTGACAATTTAAAAAGAATTCAATCCGAGTTTGTGGTCAAGTATTACGATAATTGGTCCGAAGGGAACAAATTATTTATACAAATGGAGTTGTGTTCCGATGATCTCAAGAATATACTTAAAATGAAACCACAATTCTTTGGGCGACAAAATGGAGAACCAATGGATTTATACGAGTACTTCATTTCGTGTGAACTATTCCGAGAGATTTTAGAACGTGTTCAGTATTTGCATGAATTGGATCCACAGATCATCCACAGAGACCTCAAACCGGAAAACATATTGATTGATAGGCATGGGAGGGACGGTAGATTTATTAAGTTATGTGACTTTGGTTTGGCTACAGTTCACGACAAACGTATTCACGGCCAGACTAGATACAAACATACGGCAGATGTCGGGGATATCCACTATGAGGCACCGGAGGTAATGCAAGGTCGCAAATACAACCACAAAGCAGATATTTATAGTCTGGCAATAATTGGTGGAGAGATATTTGAAATGATTATTGAAACATTTGACGTAGACAAGTAAGCAAAATAAATAAATCATTTGATTTAGTCATTTAAATCTATTTTAAAATTATATATATATATATAATATAGTCCAATACCATATTCTACCGATACGACCAATTTTAATCTACTTAATGCACGGGTACTACAGTTGCAAAAAATATTGGATTCAATGTTTACGCTAAGATGGATTACTAGACCTGAATGTAAGGATGTACTGGATGAATATGACAAGTGGTCTATCGATAAGGATCTGCTGACTGAGGCTGAAAATTTAAATACCACTTAAAATAATTGGAAAAAACGTGATGATTTATTTTTCTGTGAATATTTACAAAATAAACTGCAAATATCTGTGAAAGAAAATTTTGTAATTAAAATTAATAATGGGCATTTTATAAAAACATTTAATGAAAAATGTACAATTGGAGCGGGAGGATTTGGAATTGTGTATAAGGCCGAAAATAAAATTACAAATGAAATATATAAGAAAATTTTGTAATTAAAATTAATAATGGGCATTTTATAAAAACATTTAATGAAAAATGTACAATTGGAGCGGGAGGATTTGGAATTGTGTATAAGGCCGAAAATAAAATTACAAATGAAATATACGCTATTAAGCTGATAGATTTTGTTAACAATGGTAAATTAAAATTGATAAAATTTATGATAGTTTAAAAATATATTTTTTTTATATAGAATTAAACGATAAACAAAAACGGGATGTTTACAAGGAAGTGCACTATTTAAATCTAGTTGACCCTCAATATGTAGTTCAGTATTTCGATTCGTGGAAAGAATTGAATTGCGTTTACATTCAGTTAGAGATGTGTTCACAGAATCTGACGAATATTCTGGAAATCAAACCACAAGTATTTAAAAGATTGCCAAATGAATCCATGAATTCATACGAATATATCATTTCGTGTGAAATATTCAAAGAGGTTTTAGAATGCGTTCAGTATTTGCATGGATTGGGATATATCCATAGAGACCTCAAACCCGACAATATATTAATTTCTGATAATAGACAGAGCGGAAGATTTTTAAAGTTATGTGATTTCGGTTTAGTTACAAAACACGATAATAGTGTTCATTATATAACTGCTTACAAACACACGGCAGACGTGAGAACCATGAATTATATCGCATATGAAGTAATACACGGTAGGAAATACGACCACAAATCCGACATCCATGGCCTGGCAATCATTTGTGGCGATATATTTTGCATTGATGTACTTAGTGATTTAAATAAGTTTGTTTAAATTAATTATACTTTATGTCTAATGATTATTAATTTACAATTTATAAAATCTTTAGTAAAACACAATATTCAATGACAAACCGACAGTTAAATGAACCTGTTAATCAACTAAAGCTAATTATGGAACAAATGATGTCTAGGCGCTGGACTGAAAGGCCTGATTGTAGTAATATTTTGTCTAATTATAACAAGTGGTCTATCGATAGGAATATTTTGGTAAATGATACACAATTTAAGTCCACATTAGAGGCAATTCATGGGATTGAGACAGAGATTAGAGCGAGAGGTGAACAAGGTAGAGACAAACGATTTATTAATGAAACACTCGATACAAATTATTATGGCGTACACAATGGGAAACCATTTTTTCAAAATTATTTGTCGTTTATTTCAGAGTAATATTTTTGTTTTTAATTTCATATTATCTATTAGCATACGATAAGTTTTAAATATATTAATCACTGTATTCTGTTTACGTGTTGACTCAAAATTATTTTGGTTTGCAACTTTACATATAAATTAATTATTCAAAAACTGTTAAGCTTGTGCTATTTTATGAATTATTGGATTTTATATATAAAGGAAACAGAAGGAGAAAGAACCTTTTAAAGAATTTTTAAGAAAACAGATAGAAAGCTATAAAGAATATTTAAGAAACAGATCGACAAACAGACACTTTACTAAACCGTTGTCTCGGAAAGAAGTTTTGCAAGAAATTCACGCTGAATACGACTATTCCTTTAAACTGCTTTTGATCGGAGATTCGGGAGTCGGGAAGTCGTGTCTGATGTTGCGGTTCGCGGACGGCGTGTACGACAAGTCCATCAACTATACCATTGGCCTCGACTTCAAGAGCCGTACCATAGTGTTGGACGGAAAGAGGATAAAGTTGCAAATCTGGGACACCGCGGGTGTGGAGCGATTCCACACCATCAGCTCCTCCTGCTACAGGGGCGCCCACGGGATCATTGTTGTGTACGACGTGACGAACTTGGAGTCGTTCAAGAATGTGATGAAATGGCTGCGAGAGATCGATCGTTACGCTTGCGATGACGTCAACAAAATTCTCGTCGGAAACAAATGCCATCTCACGACCCAAAAGGTCGTCGAATACGCGACCGCGAATGAGTTGGCCGAGAACCTGGGTTAGTGAAAGGGATGTGCTTCTGCATGTGTCTGGGCGCCGTATGACACCCGTATTTGTCTCACCTGATAGGCATCCCGTTTCTGGAGACGTCAGCGAAGAAAGCGACGAACGTGGAGCAGGCCTTCTTCAAATTGGCTGCGGACATAAAGGCGCGAATGGAAGCCGTGTCGGGAGTGGAGGCACAGTCGGAACAGACAATACGCCTGGATTGGAACGAGATCAGCCCGCCCAAGAGCTCGGGCTCCTTTTGATAATGACATTTGATTAATAGTATCCAATGCATTAACAAGACTTAATAACAGAATAGCTTAATATATTACTAGTGTAGGGTAATAAAAGAAATTGTTTATTACTGTTTGCCATCGAAATTATGTAAAAGTAGATTTCATGAAAAACATTAAATTATAATGATATAATTTTGAATGTTTAAATTAGTTTTTACTTTTAGTATTTATTAATTACAATATTTGTATTTACTTTAACATTGTATGTTAATAAGTTAAAAAATATAATTAGTATTTCACAGTAAATAATATTCTACTGTTTGGCCAGACACCTTCGCTTAAATCAATGTCGCAAATTATTCACTCATCATGTCTACAAAACAGGCTTACCCTCAACAGACCAGTAATACTCATTGCAGTGAGGGTTGACCACAAAGAACACTGTCATAATACAATACAGAATTTGCTAAGCTGGCACTCGGAATTTTTTGATTGGATATGAACGACCATTCAATGCTGAGTCAGAAGGTGTCTGGCCAAACAGTAGAATATTATTTACTGTGAAATACTAATTATATTTTTTAACTTATTAACATACAATGTTAAAGTAAATACAAATATTGTAATTAATAA